GACTGCCGGTGGGCCGCTGAGCGTCGCGGCTAACGTCTCTGCCCCGGGCTGTTGCGTAGCCAGGAAAAAACGATCCGCTTCCTCAGCCAAAGCACGGGGCTCCGTGACAGGCGTGTTGGCCAGCGCCGTCTGTACCCGGGGAGGCAAGTGACGCAGGAAAATCTCCGTGAATAAAATACGGGGATCTTCCCCCCCTAGCAGATTTAGCATTTTCTCCATTAGCTGGGATGGCTTGCTGTCTCCTAGGCCTTGAATGTCAAGTATCTGGCGGGCCCTCTCCTTAGCAGATAAGCTAAATGTCTTAAGGAGAAGGGCCTTAATCGCCTCATATTTGCCATGATGTGGGGGGGGCTGCGATGAATCCCACCAACCTGGATGACGTGGAGCTCCCCAGCGCTGCTACCACATGGTAGTATTTTAGGTCCCCGTCACGGACCTGTCGGCAGGCGAAATGTGCCTCCACGTGTGCGAACCATGCCTCCGCGGTGTGCTCCCAGAATTCCGGCAGCTTTATGAAAACATCGCGCTCAGCCATGTTCGTTAATTTTCCGGAAACTTTCTCGGAAAAGTCAGGGTCACCAGTGTAGTGCCGTGAAAAGAGAGTCGGAGGCGGTGTATTAAGAATGGAGTTCCAATCTTTATTATCCATTACTTCAGAGAGGTTAACACATGCACTGCTCTGCCATGATGAGCTAGCAGGAATGGCAGCTAAAGCTACAGGTGTTCCCCACTAAAGGGTCCGTGTGGCAACACACTAAGCAAGATGAATTATGTCCAATAACGTGTCACCACAATACAGTGCAATAAGCTTCTTAGTGCAATACGAAGCTACAGGGATGTTAATAATGTCGGTAATATTAACTTTATTTAATACAACATTTACGGTACAAGATGTAATCATACAGCCCATGTAGTATGATAATGAATTACAGCAAACATGTGCACTATATCCATTATTACAGCTCCGTGGGATGGCAGTAAGACGATATGGATCCGTTCTTATCCATGGGTAAAGATAAACGCAACTCACATTGGTTTCTCATACAGCATCTCTGTAAACTACGTGTATTCACTGAATTTCACTCTCTGCCTTTAACGGCTCGTTGTAGCTCCAATAGCTCCAGCCCCACCCTCCCTGTGAGCACAGTGTGCTCTGATTGGTCGGGACACGTAACATGAACGTGCCGGGCGGCGCGGTCCCGTGGGTTAGATGCGCGTTCATAATGCAAAGGGAAATAACTCTCAGAATAACGTTATTAGCACATTTTTACAACTTGAGGAACGAATGTTTTTAATAAGGGCTATACAAGTGTTCATACTGGGTAGTTTATTTAGTTTTTAAAAAATTATCCAACGAGTTACAGACCACTCTTTCCCCATGTAAGTCAATGGGAAAAAGTGTTTCCGGGCCTGGCAACCAAACGGAAGTGTAGTACCGCCGTTTGGCCAGCACGAATATTTTCATCTGAGTCCGGTGCACTTCCTGGGGGCTTGCTCTATAGGCATGCCAACTTGATGCTCTGCTCACGGATGATCATAAACAACTGCCTGTTAGGCCCCAAGCCTGTTTTTCAGGTTTCAGGCTCGAAAATGACATTCCCAGAACAAATGACCATATCTTCCCTTCTAAAAGGGTTAAATTAATAATCTTTTTTCTCAAAGTAATGATAAACCTGTGAGTTGGATGTAGAAAAGTCAGAATCAATATAGATGTTTTTTATTTAAAAAAAAAATCAGATTGAACATGGTAAAAAACTGTAAATTATAGTGTCCGTCCAAAAGATATGTTGTACTTATAGTGAAAACTAACCTTGGATGATGGGTTAGTAGACTAAAAGCTTTAGGAATCCAAAGTACAACATATAAGAAGTACCCTGTATCAAGATTGATGCAAAACAAGTGATATTTGACCTTTTTAGACAGATTTAGCAAAGAAAACCTCTTCTGGGGCCATTTGGGTGGATTTTCCATATCTCTGGCCCCACTTGTTCGATTTTGACATGTGACATCTCTTTCTGACCGTTAGAGCCAATAGAATCGAAGGGAAATCGTCCCGCACACACTCATGTTAAATAAAATGGTGGCCTCTCTGCGCATGCTAGCTTGCAGGACAGGGGAGAAATATCGCTGCTCTGATATCAAGCAACGGAAAAGCTGTTTTATTGCTTATGGATTATCAGAACATTTCAAAGGGGACGCAGTCACATTGGATTAACCTATGTATTAACTACACCATCGTTTTTTTAAATCGTTTTAATGCCATTAAAGACCAGTTTAGACCAGACAAAGACGAAGGTAAGCCATGTTAGCGTTGTGGGCTACCTAGCGCCACTTGTTTTGATGTACGTTTTTCTTGATAACGTCACGAGTTTGTATCTTTCAGTGTTGAGGTGGGCACCGTTAGATTCTGTGTCTCCTTGCGATCATAAAATATGTGTTGGATGTGCACCTAGGATCAGTAATAAGGGAGCTAGGAGTGATTATCGGTGCAGTAATAGGTTAGCATTTTTCGCTCAGGGGTAATTTAGATGCTTCTTATGAGACTTGTGTTTTGTTTTGGTAAAAATAGTTTGTATCGTCAGTTAGCTGAGATTATTCCCGTTAATCTGGTATAACACATTAATAGGTTCTTAAATAGTAAGATCCCCTGAGACACAGTGTTGTGAAAAGAAAAACTAAAATACCCGCCGGCGGGGACCTTCGGGCTTAACATGATGACCTTGTATGTGTGTATATTTTGTTTTTCTTTGTGGGGTCTGCCCACAAAAAACAGTTTTAAGTCCTGAGAAAGTCAAAATAAGACGGTGTGTAAAACTAGACTGCCCAGCCAAAAAAAAGTAACCACTTTGATTTAACTAGGCCAGGTAAGGGCTATCCACTGGATAATAACTGCAGCGATGTATATGTTTTAGCTGAATACACGTTTTTTTAACCCTAACGGCCCGTCCACACAGCAGCGTGCGTTGACGCTTGGCGGTGGGCGTGTCTGAAGCTTGGGGATTTTTTGCGAGCAACGCGACCAACAACCAATCACATGAATCTCCCGCCCCCGACATACAAAGCAATAGCAATGTTAAAACGAAGTAAACTGGATATAAAATCGCCAAACAGGCGAAAACCTACCAGTTTCACCCACTGTCTCTGCCACCTCCCTCCATGCCTCGCTCCTCCGGTTTGTATCCCGGTAGATGAACAGAGACTGATCATACAGCACCGGGTGATTCACTACCGCTATAATGAATTTTCCCTCCATTTTTTGGAATATGAGGAAATGACCTGCGTAGTCTCTCCCAGCATACACGTGGTTTGATTGGCTAGCGCTTGTACTGGCAGATTTGCATAAACGGGATTTCATTGGCTGACGCCTCCGTCGAGGCATCAAAAGTTGAACATTGCTCAACTTTTTAAGCCAGCAACGCAAGCAACGCTCCACGTCGCTTCCCAAAATGCAGTTCGGCTAAAAGTGACGTTACCCCATTCAAAGTGAATGGGCAGAAGCGTTGGAAGCTTCAACGCACGCCGCTGTGTGGACGGGCCGTAACTGATGTAAAGTCAAGGTTGTAACTGTTTGCCGTAGTCGTGGGGTGCTGAACTGTTCTTTTGAATCTTTTGAATTTTGATAGATGATAGTAATTACTTGTCTTTCAAATTTGAAGGAGGATGAGCAAGCATCTTGAGGAACATTCATCATTAACTCCTCCAAAAAAAGAAATATATATATATTCAATAATAAATGAATATGTGAATCATAGCAGTGATTGACAGCTGATAGGAATAATATGATTGTTAATATTATCATATTCATTCAGACAAACATCGATGAGACAAGTTAATTAATGTACTTATTGCAGCAGTCTGCATAGATTTGGTACCCCTGCTGGTCTAATGGCCTGTCCACACAGCGGCGTGCGTTGAAGCTTCAACAAAAAGTTGAGCAATGTTCAACTTTTGAAGCTTCGACAGAAGCATTAGCCAATCAAATCATATGCCAGTACAAGCTCTAGCCAATCAAACTGCGTGCTTGTGTGTCCGGGGCGGGAGATTCATGTGATTGGTTGTTGGTCGAGTTTCAGACACGCCCGCCGGCAAGCTTCAACGCACGCCACCGTGTGGACGCTGCGTAAGAGTGAAACAAGCTCATCCAGTTAAAATTCATTAAATTATGTCTGCCACCATATATATTTATATTTAAGGCTTTACTGATGTGCCACAATAATGTCACCTAATGTTATTGAGTTAAAATATCAATATTGTGCTTTCCAAGTTAACATTGATTGATATGACTGGGATTAAATCAGCATATACTTCTGCCAGGGGATGCCACCCCTCAAAATCTCCTGCCACCCTCTTGCCACCCCATGAATATTTTAAGCGATTTAAAAACAAACAATAACATCTTAAAATGAACTCTAAAATGGACAGGAAGCCAGTGGAGGGAAGCCAGAATAGGTGTGATGTGTTCATGCTTGTGTGTTCCTGTAAGCAGCCAAGCCGCAGTGTTTTATAACAGCTGCAGGTGTGCCAGCGAGGACTTGTTTAGGCCGGCATAAAGTTCATTACAGTAATCTAGACGAGTAGAAACAAAGGCATGAATAACACGCTCAAAGTCTAAAAAGGATAAAACCGGTTTAATTTTGGACAGGAGCCTCAAGTGATAAAGTAACAAGTAACTACATCTGTCAGATAAATGCAGTGAATCCACTAGATCAAAACGGTTATTCTGAGAGTGCATATGTGAACCAGTGTTTTAAATGCAAATTGCCTTCAAGAGACAGAGTTTCTAGAATGAAGAACAGATGTTATCACACTTCAAGCTCCCAAAAACGGTGTGGGCTCATGCTGCAAGAAAAATACATTATCCATCAACCTACAACCCAGAAACCAACTGACCATGAAACAACTTCAGCCCAGGATCCTGTATTTTGTCGAACAGAGGAGAGGTGGGAGGTCTTTAAAACGGCTGTATGTCAACTGCAACAGTTAGTCTCGTTTTGAACTCACCCTAGGAGGAGCACATCAGGCGATGCCTTTAAGAACATCGCCACATGACGAAGTGTCAAGTTTACTTTACAGCAAATTATTTTCTCTGGAGTGGAACTGAATATATGAAAAGGATCTCTTTGCTTCAATGTGTGTGACAGAGGAGTCTGGTGTTTTCCATTGTCAAACACGTACCAGATGACCATCCTTGTGTCAACCCTGATTCAGAGCAAAGTTAAGGTAGGTGAGAACCTTTCTATAATCACTGCAGCATATTATTCATGCACAGTCAATGCAGGGAGAGAATAGCGCAGGCTTGTGCATGTCTGTGAATTAAGTTTTTGCTTTATTTACTGATCTACATACAATAATAATCATGAACAGCATAGATAAAGCAAATCATGTGACAGGTGACATTTCCATCATGTGGTCCTGCATTTACTTCATACCAATCACATTAATAGTTTTATTAGATTACATTGATTTAATTATCATTAACCATCAATAGGGTTTCCAATAACAGACAAAGATTGGCATGATAGTCCTTCAGTTTAAAACATAGCATCTTATTTTCCTGCGAGAATCACTATTTTGTGTTCTTTCAGATGCCACTTTACCAGATTATTTTTCATTGGCTGTAATAGTATAAAACCATAACGGCACACAATGTATTTTGCTTTCCTTTGAGTCCTGGCAATGGATTGAATTGCATGCACGCTCAGTTCATTTTGTATTCGTAGCAAACTATAACATAAAATCACAAAACGTCATCATCGCAGAAACTATTAAATGTTTATGTTGAATCATTTACACATCTAAACAAAAGTGTACGGTTCAGCATTATATAAGTAACCAACAAAAAAAAGAATGAAAGGGAAACCTATCGTCTCTTGTAGCCTTTAAAGAATTGTCTTTTGTTTCCTAATACGTCGCAGAAGTTGATCAAACAACATATAAAAGTTGTTTAATTTAGTGCTCCCCTGGCATCTGTCCTGACTGTTTATTGCAGAAGCTACACTAAAGCGATTCAGAGAGATTATTATCAAGGAATATCTTTTGTTGCAGACATTTTGCCAACGGTGTGAGAAACGTTTTCTTGTCACCATGCTTGGTATGCTCAGTAAAATAATTAAATCCATCTGGAGACCATTTTACTGGTCGAGCTGCCAAAAAGTGCTTGGTAGCAGGCACCCTCAGCTCCAGGAGAAGTGTGCTGCTAAGCATCCAAGAGTAGAGGGCACTGTTTGACCATAACTGAAACTTATCTAACACAGACTACCTTTCAGGTCACTCACAGTTAAACATCACCGTTAGCGTTACAATGAAGAGGCGCTGCTCGTATTGCCGAAACCTAACCCAAGTTCAGGCGTGGAAAGAAAGTGTTGTTGTTACTGTAACTGAGCAGCTTTTCTTTTGCACTTTCCACATTGTTAAGTACATTTTGGATTGAAAGGCAGGCATTGCTTGGATGCTCACTGTTTAAGTGTTTTGGCACCACTAGGGGTCAATTCAATTTAGGTTTGCTTGTAAAATCATTTACAAGACAGCTGTTTGAGAAAAGCAATCATCATGGTTTGGGAGGGAAACTGAATCAGAGAGAGACTACCATGTGCAGTGCACTCATATTGAAATGGTTAAGGTCAGGATGTCTCATTGGCTCTAATTGCCATGTTTGAACTGTTGGTTGAGAACATTCCTCCTTTTTCAATGTCAGCATGCATAATCTACTTGACAAATGTTTGTTGAGTAATTTTCATTTGAATGTATATACTTTCCAGCTGAGTGAATTTCAAAGTGTGTGTCAGCCAACCCCTCAAAGGGAAGATAGTATGTGATTGACATTAATGGCGCGTTTCCACTGCAGCGGGTAGCTCGCTTTAAGCGTGCCGAGCCGTGCGGGGCCCGTTTTTGGTTGCGTTTCCACTTGGCCTAGTTTTGGCCCGGGGCTACTTTTTCACCTTTTTTCTGGCCCGACTAAATCGTGGTTCTAGGACCAGGAACAACCAGGCTGAGTCGGGCTGAGTATGCTAAACTAGAGAGAGAATCGCTGGCAAGGGGGCTACAACTACAACAAGATGAACATATTTGACCGTGAATTAATTGTAATACACGTTTCAAAATGATGCCGAAGTAACAACATACTGATACCGGTTAGTAAAAACCATGAATTAATGCTTTGACAAGTCTGCAGACAAACGGCAGGCGAAAAACCCTTTTAAAATGCGTGTTTTCTAAATGTAGCTTGGCTAAGCTAACGTTATATATGCTCCGGCCGTCCACACTCACAACAACGGCCTATACAGACATAAATAAACCAGCGACTGTATTCGCCATGACACAGGCAGTCTGTGGTTTGTACTTGTTTAACTTTTGTCAAGTTTCTGAACAGATATGAAGAGCTGTGAGCTCCGAGTGCTAAGAGCTAACGGCTGTGTTGTTTTTCTGGGGCTCTCATTGAAGATGACGTCACGGCTCCGCCTACACTGCGTTACTATAGTAACTGCCCCAGTTCCTAAACTGTAATGGAAACACAGCATTAAAGTGAGCCGGGCCTAATAAGGCCTAACCAAACCGAGCGAGGCCGAGCGAGGCCTGCAGTGGAAACGCGCCATAAGATAATTAATTGGTTGTCTTGGTTGCAGGTAAAGTGTCTGTGTGTACTGATCTTCCTGAGCTTCCCTCTGACTATGGCTGAAGTCCCTGGTCCATGCAGACACTCGATTACGAGGGAACACCTGCTGACAGTCAGGCATCTGGTAGGTGTTTAAAACTATGAGAAACACATTGGTTGAACCAGCATCAGAAACAATGTGGCTCTACTTGAACTGGGCTGAGATCTACCTGTTTTTGTTCCTGCAGATGGATAACCAGTTGAGAAGTGGATGCACAATATCCTACACATTCATAGAACAGAGAAGTTTGGTAAGGTAACATTTGTTTTATGGCACTGTTTTCCTTCCAATTCCTGTGATTCACCTTTCAACTATCCAACTTTTCCATTAAAATTCATGTTCATGTTTATTACCTCGTTTTTCTGATTTCCCACAGAGTAAATGTTGCTTTGTAAAAGCTGCTTTACCCTGGATCTTTGAGCTCCTCACCACCCACTTCAAATACAGTAGGGGTTCAGTCAATGATGGCTATGTTCAGTCCCTGAGAGCGCTCATCCTCAACATCTACTCTCAGAAATGTGTGCCTCAGATTAATGAGGAGATTGAGGTGAGTGTGTGTTCCTGTGTGTGCACCCTGTTTAGGACTGAAGGGTTAGATGTTCTATAATATAAAACATGTAGAAGATATATGTGATGTGAGAAACTGCCCAGCGCCAGGAGATAAATCTGCAATACTTGTAAAAACATTTAAAGTATTTTTCTCGGTATGTGCCGCAGGATAAGCCAGAGAGTTTTGAGATGCTCTACAGAGGGTCTACTTCAGAGGCTCTGCAGAAGGCTGCAGAGGTGCTGTCTGTTTATTGGGAACTGGTGACAACGAGCGATGCACCAGTAGACTGGAGATGCCAGCATGAATACACAGAAATGTTTGACTCTACCACAACGCTATACACAGAGTCACCTACAGAATATTTTACAGGTGGGAATCTCTTCTGCTAACATGCTGTGATGAATGATGAGGAGGTGAGATCATAAAATACATGTCTTTTTCTACAGAAAGTTATGGTAGGATCTCGGTGAAGGCCTCACCGAGAAGAGCAGACAAAGACCTGTACAAGCTTGGCTTCATCATCGTCTCTATCTGCGGAGGACTGCTGTTCATACTCACTCTCTATTGTCTCATCACCAAAAAGGTACCAGCCCTTCTGTTTTGATTGATTTCTAAATTGTGCATTTCCTGATTTAATGTACCATGCATTCTGATCATATTGCTTTAAAGAGGCCTTGGCAGTCTGCCTGTGCCCTCTTGGCACTCCCTCTTGCAGAAGTACCAATTCTCCCTCACAGAAAATACTGAGCATAACAACAAATGGTAGAGACTGGACCAACTGGTGATAGCAGAAGTCTTATTTGCACAAAAGTCTGCAAAAGCAATTGAATGCATTCATTTATTGTTGTCTTATTTTGGACAATATGGCACCATTAGCTTGTATATCCTATTGTTTTATTTCATCAGTGTTTTTAACGGGCTGAGGCTCAGATTCTACGTGTACGTCTTCATTAAGCAGGTACATACTTTAGTATTAAAACAATTCTAAATCCTTTGACAAAATGAATACTACAACACCCACAATGATTGTATGCCCTACCAAAATCAGGAACACACACAAAAGCTCAGCAGCCATTAAATGAAACGGACAAGCTGCAGGTAAATCCTGGTGGAAAAGCGATCCCTGGAAAGCAATAATATGTTTATAAGCCTGTTTGTGGGTTAAACATAAGAAAAAATCAGAAACATCTCTTTGTCAACGTGGCATTCTTTATAGAAGTGTCTATAAAGTCTGGGGTATTCTTCGTCAACGCTAAACAAGGTCCTAACCAACCAAAACGTCGTCAAATCTTTGGGAAATCTGGGAATAATCTTGTCTTTACCATCTGAGCCGTCCCCTCGCTGGTAAAAAACTAAGTATAACAAAGTGGAGGCTTGACTCACTCAGATATCAGAATCACTCTTTCATGCTCTTTCTGTCACGATCTGTCTTTATGTTGTTTTGTCTTGTCTTGTTTCATGTTTTATGTTGAAAGGTCTTCACTTCTTGTCTTGCCTGTTTCTGTCTGCGTTGTGTCTTGTTTAAATCTGTCTGTGGTTCCCGGTCGTTAGTTTCCCTGGTGTGTCTAATTTACCCGATTGTGTTCACCTGGTGTCCCTGTGTTTTCTCCTCCCTCCTCACCTGTGTCTTGTTTGTGTGATTAGTCTTGTGTGTATTTAAGTTCTGGTTTTCTGTCTGTCTTTGTCGGTTCGTCTTGTGTCATGACTAGTTCGTCGGTGAGTGTTCTGTTTTGTCTTTGTTTAGCACCTAGCCTTGAAATAAAGGAATTCTCACTTTGATCTGCATTTGGGTCCTACCTGCTTCACACACCATGACAGAACGAACCGACCACAAAATGGACCCAGCAGATGATCCATGGGAGGTTGAATTACAGCATTTAACCTTCTATCTGGCTTGCTGCTTCGATTGGTGGAAGGGAGCGTCCAGTGTTCGGCAGAAGAGGGCCGCTCTGGTAGAGGCGCACCGGTTGGCAGCAGAGAAACTATGTTTTGTGGAGTTCTTACCTGACTGGATTTTGGACTTCCTTGAAACATGTGATTCCCGGCCTGCTAGCCCCAGGCATGCTAACTCCATGTTCCCCAATTCCCAACCTGGCACCATACGCCTTGGTGGGTTCCGCCTGAAGTCAACCCGTGCTTCTGCCCCAGTTCCTGCTCCTGTCCAGGAGTTGTATTCCGGAACTCGTCTGGCTTATGGAGGTCCACGGAATATTCAGGAGGCTGCTAAGAGGAGTCGTCGCAAGGCCAGGCTAGCAGCCCGAGCCCCAGCAGCCATGGTTCCGGCTCCAGTACAGGCCCCAACAGCCATGGTTCCGGCTCCAGTACAGGCCCCAACAGCCATGGTTCCGGCTCCAGTGCCGGACCCAGCAGCCATGCCTCCATGCTCCAGTACCGGCCCACGCAGCTTTGCGTCCATACTGGATTACCTGGCTTACACAGCCAGGGTCCAGGCTTCCGCGCCGGACCCAGCAGCCATGATTCTGGCTTCAATTCCGGCTCCAGAGCCGGCCCATTCAGCCATGTTTCCGGCTCCAGAACCGGACCTTACAGCCATGTTTCCGGCTCCAGAACCGGACCTTACAGCCATGTTTCCGGCTCCAGAACCGAACCTTACAGCCATGATTCTGGCTTCAATTCCGGCCCCCGCAGCCATGGTTCCGGCCCTAGCAGCCATGGTTCCGGCTTCAGTACCGGCCCCGGAAGCCATGGGCTCGACTCCAGTTTCGGCTACAGGGCTGGCTCCCCAGCCGACGCCAGCTCCCCGAGTCTTGTCGGCGTATAGGCCGACTCCAGCACCTCGTCTTCTGCTGGCTCCCCAGCCGACGCCAGCTCCCCGAGTCTTGTCGGCGTACCGGCCGACTCCAGTACCTCGTCTCCTGCTGGCTCCCCAGCCGACGCCAGCTCCCCGAGTCTTGTCGGTGTACCAGCCGACTCCAGCACCTCGTCTCCTGCTGGCTCCCCAGACGACGCCAGCTCCCCGTGTCCTGTCGGCGTACCGACCGACACAAGTTCCCTCTCAAGTCCCCTCTCCAGTTCCTACCCGAGTCCCCTCTCCAGTTCCTACCCGAGTCCCCTCTCCAATTCCTACCCAAGTCCCCTCTCCAGTCCCCTCTCGAGTTCCCTCTCGGGTCCCCTCTCGAGTTCCCTCTCGGGTCCCCTCTCGAGTTCCCTCTCAGGTCCCCTCTCCAGTCTCCTCTCAAATCCCTTCTCGAGTCCCCTCTCAAGTCTCCTCTCAGGTCCCCTCTCGAGTCCCTACCAGAGTCCCCTCTCGAGTCCCCTCTCGAGTTCCCTCCTCTAGTCCCTCCTTTAGTCCCCTCTCTAGTCCCTCCTCGAGTCCCCTCTCTAGTTCCCCTCGCGAGTCCCCTCTCGAGTTCCCTTCTCTAGTTCCTCCTCTAGTCCCTCCTCTAGTTCCCCTCTCGAGTCTCCTCTCGAGTCCCCTCTCGAGTTCCCCCTTGGTTCCCCTCTCAAGTCTCCTCTCGAGTCTCCTCTCGAGTCCCCTCTCGAGTCACGTCTCGAGTTCCCCCTTGGTTCCCCTCTCGAGTCTCCTCTCGAGTCCCCTCTCGAGTCACGTCTCGAGTTCCCCCTTGGTTCCCCTCTCGAGTCTCCTCTCGAGTCCCCTCTCGAGTCACGTCTCAAGTCCCTACCCAATGTCCTGGTCCGTTGGAGGTTCCGCTGGGGGTCCTGCCAACTCCATGTCCTGTCCCGTTGGAGGCCCCGTCGACTACTCCTCTGCCGGGGGTCCTACCAATCGTATGTCTGTCCCGTTGGAGGTCCCGCCGTCTACTCTCCTGCCGGGGGTCCTGCCAGCTCCTTGTCCTGTCTCGTTGGAGGTCCCGCCAACTACTCTCCTGCCGGGGCTCCTGCCAACCCTTTGTCCTGTCTCGTTGGAGGTCCTGCCGTCTACTCTCCTGCCGGGGGTCCTGCCAACCCTTTGTCCTGTGCCGTTGGAGGCCCCGCCGACTACTCTCCTGCCGGGGGTCCTGCCAACCCTTTGTCCTGTCCCCTTGGAGGTCCCGCCGTCTACTCTCCTGCCAGCTCCTTGTCCTGTCTCGTTGGAGGTCCCACCGACTACTCTCCTGCCGGGGGTCCTGCCAACCCTTTGTCCTGTGCTGTTGGAGGCCCCGCCGACTACTCTCCTGCCGGGGGTCCTGCCAACCCTTTGTCCTGTCTCATTGGAGGTCCCGCCGTCTACTCTCCTGCCGGGGGTCCTGCCAATCCTATGTCCTGTGCCGTTGGAGGCCCCGCCGACTGCTCTCCTGCCGGGGGTCCTGCAAATCCTGTGTCCTGGTCCTCTTCCGTGGGGGATCCTGCCGAGGCCTGTCCCACCAGCTCCGACACCGGGTTCTGCCCGGCCTCCGGCACTGTCCCGTCAGCGCCTTCCTGCCCGGCCTCCGGAGCTGTCTGGTCTTCGCCCTCTGAGAGCCCGGCCCTCTGAGAGCCCGGCCCTCTGAGAGCCCGGCCCTCTGAGAGCCCGGCCCTCTGAGAGCCGCAGTCTTCGCCCTCGAGCCCGGCCCCCTGAGAGCCGCGGTCTTCGCCCTCGAGCCCGGCCCCCTGACTCTTCCTGCCGCGGTCCTCGCCCTCGGGCCCGGCCCCCTGACTCTTCCGGCCGCGGTTCTCGCCCTCATGCTCGGCCCCCTGACTCTTCCTGCCGCTGCCTTCGCCCTCATGCTCGGCCGCCCGAGTCCCCCACCTTAGACTCTGCCTTGCCCCCGGGCCGTCCGCCCGAATGCCCCTTTTTGAACTCTGCCTTGCCCCCGGGCCGTCCGCCCGAGATCCCTTCCTGGTCCTCTGCTGTGCCTCTGGGCGGTCAGCTCAGTCCCGTCCTCCTGACCCCCTCCACCCACCCTGGTGGTCTAGTGATACGTCCCTCCTCCGGACCCCCTCCACCCACCCTGCTTGAGGTTTTGGACTTTTGTGGGTTTTTTTTGGGACGTCTGGGATCCGTCCCTTGAGGAGGGGGTACTGTCACGAGCTGTCTTTATGTTGTCTTATCTTGTCTTGTTTTATGTTGAAAGGTCTTCACTTCCTGTCTTGCCTGTTTCTGTCTGCGTTGTGTCTTGTTTAAATCTGTCTGTGGTTCCCGGTCGTTAGTTTCCCTGGTGTGTCTAATTTACCCGATTGTGTTCACCTGGTGTCCCTGTGTTTTCTCCTCCCTCCTCACCTGTGTCTTGTTTCTGTGATTAGTCTTGTGTGTATTTAAGTTCTGGTTTTTCTGTCTGTCTGTCGGTTCGTCTTGTGTCATGACTAGTTCGGCGGTGAGTGTTCTGTTTTGTCTTTGTTTAGCACCTAGCCCTGAAATAAAGGAATTCTCACTTTGATCTGCATTTGGGTCCTACCTGCTTCACACACCGTGACACTTTCTCCTATATGCAATTATTCGTCGTCGTCAGTTGAATATTTCAGCAATTGCAATTCAGTAAAAGCCCTTAAACAGTACCAGCTAGATTGAAGTGCTTGTGAAAAGTGCAGTGTTTTTATCGACATTCCGGGATTGGTTTTCTTTTGAAATTAGCAAGAAGTATTTGGTAAAGGTAGACAGAGTTGCTCTATGTTTGTGTTCTTTTTACTTTGGAAAGTTAGATG